AACAATAATAATAATGACATTAATAATAATAATAATTATTATAATAATGATAATGATAACAACCCCCGCACGTGCCTGCAGGCATCATTGAGGAATACCAGCCACCGTACTACGATACCGTCTCACCCGACCCAGGCTTTGATGAGATGAGGAAGGTGGTGTCAATCGAGCGAATACGACCGACAATCCCCAACAGGTGGAGCTGCAACGAGGTGAGCGTCGCCCGAGCGTACTCGTGTTTTTACGCGCTTTTCGTTTTTCCTATTGCAGACTTTGCCGTGCAAAAATTGTTAATTAGAAAGGTGTATTATTATTATTATGTACGACGGTGTAATGGCAAATTCTCTCTCCCTCTCCTTCTCCTGCCCCTCTCTCTCTCTCTCTCTCTCTNTCCTCCCCCCTCTCCTCCCCTCTCCCTCTCCCTCTCCTCTCCCTCCTCCTCCCCCTCCTCCCTCCCCTCCTCCCTCCCCCTCCTCCTCCCCTCCCCCTCTCCTCCCCCTCACCCTCGCTCTCTCCCTGCTTCTCTCATTGATGTTTGTGTCGTTGTCGTTGCAGCACTTGCAGAACTTTGTGAAGGTGATGAGTGAGTGTTGGCATCAGAATCCTCTCGCTCGCCTCACCGCGCTGCGTGTCAAGAAAACGCTCACAAAGATGACGAACGACGAGTTAAAAATCCAACCGTAGATGGCAGCACCCGAGTCTCATTCTCATAAAGCCAAAGCAGCTACCGGCGCGACGCCGTGCGGCGACGAGAGAAGGAACTCCGCCCCTGCCCCCCAGTGTACGCAGGGACGGACGCTCGTGTGCACAGACTGTCTGCAGAAGTGCAGAAGACAATATAGGATTGTGACGAATATGTAAATAGAACGTGTATTATATCGTGACCCACCGCCCTCTGGACACACACCGCTGTACCGCCACGTCGTCAGTGCGGGAGGGGCGTTGCTACGACGAAAACATTGTGGAGGATTTTATATGTGTGTGCATTCGCCAGCGCCACCTACGGGCGGCTCGAGAACGAAACAGACGATCGACGAAGACGCAGTTTTTTGTATTATTGTTACTCGCGATTTTTCTTTGCTATGCTTGATTATTCCGTGTGTCGCGCGAACGTCCATTGTTGGCACAGTGCCAGGACCGCACCCCGCGGCATGGCCCACCGTCTGTGGAGACAAGGTTAGGTGCGCGAAAACTTGTTGCTCTCTTGTTTTATTCATCGCACAAAGCAGTCCAGACCCCCACCCACTCACACAACATCACACCGGCTTACTAGAGACATGCGTGGGAGTCAGGAGAAGGTGTGAGGGAGGGGGGCGTCTCCCTTTTCCTCGCCTCGTTGCAACCCTTCCGTGTCCCTCCTACCCGCTCCTAGCTTCCTTCCTCCTTATTCCTTCTTCCCGCCAACAAATACTCCAGGTGGCTCTACAATAGCGCTGCGAGCATGTCCATGCAAACGTGATTTGTCGCGTTCTCCCTCAGGGGGGCGCCACTGCTGCACGTGGTGCTACGAGCGTGGATGGCATGTCGTGTGAGGCTGGGTTTTACCGCGGAGCAGAGAAAGAGAGAGGCTGCGCATTGACAACATAAGATTGTATGTAGAATATATGTTTGTACTACTGTCTGTAGATATACCTTTTACTATGAGACAATTTTTATAATAAAACCTTCCTATTACAATTAATATCCGTGTAATATTTCTTGTTTTGTGCGTTTTAGAAAATGTTGGTTGAATCCTGCTATCGAGAAACTTTCATTAATAAGTGGAATATTACGGAAATAACACGATAACGTACAAAATTAAAAGGAAGCTTACTGGATTAATGTTTGCATGTTTATCAAACCACTCAACCCTCTCATTGAAACCACAGATAGGATACATTTCTCCGCTATGACCGTCTCTCGCTTTCCCAGCTAGACCCAGCAACAGCCGGTGTGTATGAACAACCAGATCCCTCTCTTAGATTGATTAACAAAATAAAATACATTACGAAAGTACTGTATTCCTAGCGCCCTCTTCAACCTGGCAAATATCATTTAATCCATTCAAGTGTTTTGTACTCACTGTTACAAAAATTAACACTATCACTTCTTATAACTACTCTATAAATGGAAAACCTCTATAACATGTAACCCATAACCCCTACTTGGGTGTAGAAATATCAAACGACTTATCATGGCACAATTAACAACGTTTCAATAAAAGCAAATAGAACTCTTGGCTTTATATGACGAAATCTATCTAAAGCTTCCCCTACGGTTAAGGAATTGGCATACACATCACTAGTGAGGCCACACCTTGAGTATGCTAGCTCAGTGTGGAACCCCTACAGAGCCAACTTTATCAATCAAATTGAGAAAGTACAGCGAAGAGCAGCACGTTTTGTAAAGGACTACAGTACTTATAGCAGTGTAACTAGGATACTGCAGTACATGAATTGGCCCTCTCTTCAGTACAGACGAACAACTAAGACTAAGAGGCTAACAATATTTTTTAAGGCTAAGAGTAGAGAAATTGCACTACCCATTCCTAATTATCTGCAGCCTGTAACATGCAATAGTAGAGGGCATGATCAAAAGTACATAGAAATATACACCCTGGTAGACACCTACAAATATAGTTACCTTAAGCTTCCCCAGAACTGTTCAAGAATGGAACTCCTTAACTCAAGTTATAGTCTCTTCACCATCATCAACATATTTCACAGAAACAGTAAACTGCTTCCACTATTGGAACTGATAACTGCTTCCACTATTGGAAGCATAAATTAACCTTAATTTAAAACTAACAGTTTGTTTTTCGTTTATGAACATTGTGGGGGTCAGACGACCCCTGTGCGTCTATAGATACAATAATGTAACCCAAACACAGGATAGGGGCCCTATCCTGTGTTTGGGTTACATTATTGTATCTACTGCGCGTCATGCCCTAACAGGCCTTGCGCAGTATTCTTATAGACATAGACATAGACAAGAGGCTGATTGATTCTTTTTGTGTTTCAATAATGCATTATTTGATTTGCAACCATTATATAATTTCCTAGTGCAAGTATAATTGATTGCTAATATAGGTGGGTAATTGCTGGTATAGGACTGACAATTACTGGTAATTGGACAATTGCTGGTATAGGACTGACAATTACTGGTAATTGGACAATTGCTGGTATAGGACTATTACTGGTAATTGGACAATTGCTGGTATAGGACTGACAATTACTGGTAATTGGACAATTACTGGTATAGGACTGACAATTACTGGTAATTGGACTGGACAGCAATTACTTGTTATTGTTGGTATAGGAGGGTAATTGCTAATAATTTCGAGGGTAATTACACCCTCAAATAATTAACGAAGAAACATTAGACGAGAAAAAACGAGTAAACGTACACACGGATAAGAGTAAAGCCATATATTAGCATTTTTTGTTACACTAAGAATTGTAAGCTAAAAAGTTAAGTTAAAAAGTTTATGCTTATAAAAGTTTATCACAAATTCATGCTCATCCTCATAATTCAAGCAACTTTACTACCTTGATCGGTTATTGTTGCCGATGTTAACCAATCGCATTCTCGCATCCCATCACCTCACCACCTGAGAACAATATACATATGTATATTTTGTGTATATATAGTATATACATATATTGTATATATATTTTACATACACATTGTGTGTATATATATATTGTATACATTGTTCTCAGTTCACCGCATCCTATTTGCACTTGAGAGTGCAGTGCAACTTCGACAGTTCTAAATCTGACCACTAGAGGTCGCCTGTGAACAGGGACCAGTTGAGATCCGGTAGATCCTCGCAGTCCATGTAGGAGTTGCTGGAAGCAGAGCATGTACATGTGAGGTTAGTGTTCATGTTTTGCCATCTACTTGCCAAGATTTAGAGCACAGTCAGTTAGCACGGCCCCATTAACCTTATGTAAGTCATACACACAACACACAGCTCTCATCTCCCTCGTTACTGCATCAATACAGCTACTATATATATGCACACCGGTAAACAAAATCTACATGGACCGAGGTCACGATCAGATTGCATGTAAGATCATGAAACACGTGTGTTGTGAAGGTAAAGACGATCGCATCTAATACTAACGGTCTAATGACCTTATGACCTTATGTAAGTCATAAATAATGCAGCTCTCATTACCTCGTTCGTTACTGTGTTCATATGCGCATAATAATTTAATATAATTGACGATCCTGATATTATAATTATAGGTTAGCTCTAGCTAGCCTCTAGAAGTAGCCTAGCTCTAGTACTATAGTACTAGAGCTAGAAGTAGCCTATAGCCCTTCGCTCTCCGCTCTGCCCCTGTGGTAGACCGAATAATTCTGTCCCATATAACCTTTTTTATATTTTGGTGAGGGTTATTGGGACAGAACGGGGTTCATTGAAATTTCGTGAGATCGCATGCAAAATGCATGCGCTGCTAATGCGGCTTGTACGCCGCTATTGGCGCGAAAAAAAACCTACCGTTCCCTTCTACATGGCTTTACCTTGCTACTGATATGTGTATACATTCACTTCAATCGTTATTTACTTCTTAAAAGCGGGGTTTCTGAAAAACAATCTTTTAAGAAGTGAATAACGATTGAAGTGAATGTATACACATATCGGTAGCAAGGTAAAGCCATGTAGAAGGAAACGGTAGGTTATTTTTTGCGCCAATAGCGGCGTACAAGCCGCATTAGCAGCGCATGCATTTTGCATGCGATATCACGAAATTTCAATGAACCCCGTTCTGTCCCAATAACCCTCACCAAAATATAAAAAAGGTTATATGGGACAGAATTATTCGGTCTACCCCGGTGGCAGAGCGAATTATAGTTGTTATGGCGAGGTCCTATAGTTTTAGAGCTATATATAGGTGTGCTTATGGAACAGAGGTGTTGTGACAGTAGCTCTAGTACTATATAGCCCTTCGCTCTGCCGCAGGAGGACGGCGTGCGGCGGAGCGAAGGGCTATATAGTACTAGAGCTGAGAGGGTCTATGTCCCCCAGGGTACTGCCGGAACGTACCCTGGTACTAAATACTACTATCTAATATGCCGGACCGTACCTCGCCTACTCCATTAACGAGTCTAGGGAGTCGCCTACGCCTACTCCCTAACCCTAACCAATATCCCTAACCCTAACTCTAACCCTAACCCTAACCCTAACCGCGTCAGCTAGATAGTGACCAGGGTACGTTCCGGTATACCGGACCGTACCTAGGGTACGTTCCGGCAGTACCCGGGGGGGGGGGGCATAGACCCTATGAGCAGTACTAGAGCTATTGTGACAGTAGAAACGATAAGAAAACCTGTGATTATAACACAGGCTAGCCGAAAGTAAAGGCCATCACAGCACACAGGTGTCAGGGTTGATCACAGTGTTGATTAGATTACAGGTGGGATGAGATTACAGGTGTGATGGGAAAGTGGTGCAGCGAGGGTTTTTCATGACACTATTTCATAACTACATCCTTCCTTACCTGCTTGATTCACCATCATTGGCTGCAACAGCAAAAAAATAAGTGTTAGAATATAACATCAAAAGCAAGCGTATTTGGTTTAATAATTCTCCAAGACATTTCTTTATAACATACACTATGGTAGCAAGCGACAAGGCTTACACTAACGACACATATGGTGACATCTAGCATATAAGTTATAACACAACAGTTCTGATGATAATAAGTGAAGCGAATGGGTGTGTAAGATTGACACGTGCGCGGTTAGGATCTAGCAGACACGTACTTGCGCGTGTGCGACGTGTCCTTGTACGTGTTCTCCCTCCTCCACCTCCACCTCCACCGCGCCGTCCGTCACGCGATCCGCCGTCACGCGATCCGTCACGAGATCCGTCACGAGATCCGTCACGAGATCCGCCGTCGCGAGATCCGTCACGAGATCCGTCACGCGATCCGTCACGTGATCCGTCACGCGATCCGTCAGGGCGCGGTCGTCTTCCATCGGGAGGTGGCTGTCGTTCGCCATCAGGTGGCGGACGTGGGTCGGTGCCAGATGTAGAGGGCGCTGCATCCGGACAGTTGCTACCTGCAGAAGCAGATGTGTGGTCGTCACTAGAGGGCAGCAGTGAGCACAGCCATAGAAGTATATATATATCTATCTCTATATATACAGGGTTCTCCAAGCTTTTTCATTATAGCATGGCGGGTGCTGCCTTTACGGTCCTAGTTGCAAATCGCTGAAGGCGGTTTGCGTGCTAGGGGGGTCCGGGGGCTATGATATTTAGCATGTCGGCTATGATATTTAGAGTGGCGGGTGCATTTTAGAATGGCGGGGCTCAACGATAGCCTGGCGGGCCGCCAGGCTATAAGTGCTCTTGGAGAACCCTGTTATATATATATATATATGAGATATATAGAGCCTCACTAGTATACTATTGCTATGGGTGTGGCACTATCAGGCATGTGTAGGGTGTAGTAACGGGAGAGTCACGTTACACGTCAGTGACGGGACGATATAACGTTACGTTTATATGGACATATGCAATATCTAAAAAAAATAACAAATGAATGTGATTTGTATATACATATATACCAAGAGTAGATAATAACACAGTGTGTTATTATCTACTCTTCATATATACATATATAAATGTATGTATATATGTGTGCGTGCGTGCGTGCGTGCGTGCGTGCGTGTGTGCGTGCGTGCGTGTGTATTGGTATTTAGCTCGTGTAGGCTCGCAGGCCTCACTGTACGGTGGCGCACCCTGGCAGGAATTTTCTCCGGGCAGCAGGAACACGTTCGCCTGGATCCTGTTCACAGCCGTGTTCGCACACAGAACCTGTGATAGTGTCGTCTTCCTGATCTCATTCGCCTGCGCTGTTAGCAGGAGATAAACAGAGAAGATCAGATAGTAAGAGATTGTAAGAGATGTGGGGAAGATGTTCCCTTGCTCACATCTTGCTTCCTAACATACAGACAGCTTCGTACCTACCCTAACCCTCACCCTAACCCTCACCCTCACCCTAACCCTAACCCTCACCCTAACCCTCACCCTAACCCCCCCCCCCCTCCATTGCTCTCTTCCAAAACTCCTGGTATCGTTTCCTCCTCTCCTCCTTCTCGCCCAAACTCTCACCATCTTTCTTTCTTCTACCTACTCTCTACTCTTCTCTTCTCTTCTTCTTCTTCTTCTAGTGTCTCCCCCCTTTCTCTGCTCTCTTTCTAGTGTCCTCCCCCCCTTTCTCTGCTCTCTTTCTAGTGTCCTCCCCCCTTTCTCTGCTCTCTTTCTAGTGTCCTCCCCCCTTTCTCTGCTCTCTTTCTAGTGTCCTCCCCCCTTTCTCTGCTCTCTTTTGCTACTCTACGCGTGTTCATGGATGGGCCGGTTATATAATCTAATTCCTTCTCTTCCCCCTACCTCTCTACTGCTCTCTTTCTTCCCTCTCACCATTGGTCAGGCTGTGCGTCTCGCCGGCGTTCTCAAACCAGAACCGGTCGCCTGTCTTTAGCACCTCAAACTGCTTGCCAATAATGTAGGCAAATGTCGGACCGACTAGAGCGCCGTCTCGTGGCGTCTCGCACATGGCGCCCGTGAACAGGTCGATGTCGTTGACGTGGCTGCGGGAGATAGCGGTCGCTAAGCTCGACGTGGGGTCGAGCGGTGGATGGGATCTCACGTGAATGACAGACATGTTGATGCACTCACAACTATGCGCACGCACGCACACACACTCGCACGCACACATGCACACACACACATACACCATATAAGCATAACATTGCAATATAACATTAGCATGTAACATTAGCATATATATAACATTATCATATGACAACGCTAGCATGTATAACATGAGTATGTGCGCTAGCACGAGTATACGAGTAAGCTCACACACAGATGTCTATGTGTCTGTGTGTGAGCTTACTCGTATACTCGTGCTAGCGCGTCTATGTGTCTGTGTGTGAGCTTACTCGTATACTCGTGCTAGCGCGTCTATGTGTCTGTGTGTGAGCTTACTCGTATACTCGTGCTAGCGCGTCTATGTGTCTGTGTGTGAGCTTACTCGTATACTCGTGCTAGCGTGTCTACTGTGTCTGTGTGTGAGCTTACTCGTATACTCGTGCTAGCGCATCTATGTGTGTGAGCTTACTCGTATACTCGTGCTAGCGCGTCTATGTGTCTGTCGTGTGAGCTTACTCGTATACTCGTGCTAGCGCGTCTATGTGTCTGTGTGTGTGCTTACGCGTATACTCGTGCTAGCGCGTCTATGTGTCTGTGTGTGAGCTTACTCGTATACTCGTGCTAGCGCGTCTATGTGTCTGTGTGTGAGCGCTAGCACGAGTATACGAGTAAGACATAGACGCTCACACACAGACCGCTAGCACGAGTATACGAGTAAGACATAGACGCTCACACACAGACCGCTAGCANCGCAGCCTGTGCTCATCTCTCCTCTGCTGCGGAGCTGAGAGAAGCTGTTAACGTTGCGGAGGCCCGCTTGGGCGCGGTAGCTGGTGTATGGCGGGAGTCCGTGGTCCCGGCCTCGCTGGATGTTGAGAGCGACCAGATCAAGACCGTAATCTTCGTTATACTCGCTGAACAGTTTGTGCTTGATGTTGGCTGCGTGAGAGAGAGAGAGAGAGAGAGAGGTAACGGTAGTGTGTGCATGCTTGTGTTTGTTTGTCTCTGTGTCTGTGTCTGTGTGCATGCGTGTGCGTGCGCGCGCGTGTGTGTGAGTGCATGTGTGCATGCGTGTGCGCACGTGCGTACGCGCGCGTGTGTGTGTGTGAGTGCATGTGTGCATGCGTGCGTGCGCGTGTGTGTGTGAGTGCGTGCGCGCGCGTGTGTGTGTGCGTGCATGCGTGTGTGCATATTTAAAGATGAAAATCAACAAGGTAAAATGAAACAAGATTAGTGAGTATTATCTGACACTGGGAAGTAGAATCAAGTATCTTCCATTATATGTGTACAGCAAATCCACCCCCCCCCCGCCCACCAACCCACCGATACATACCTGCGAAAAACCTATCAGCGCCCTCTGCCGGGCCCTTGCACATGCCGCGCATGAGTGCAGCGACGCCGTTGCCGCGGGCGGTGCCGTACAGCGAGGACGGGTTGAAGTAGAGGCTGTCAAGGCCGATGGGTCGGCTCGTCGTTGACGTGTCACTCGTGTATCTCTCAAAGTTGTCCTGAATGAGCGAATGTCCGAAGCGAAACGCCGCCGTCGCAAACTCGTTGTAGATCGAAGCATCTTCTGCTGCTTTATAGATGGCGCTGGAGGTGCCCGATGCAGCCGGCTGCAAGTTGAATCTGCACGTGCGTGATAGAGAAACACATGAGTGACGTATGTGGTATGCGTGATGGAGAAACACATGAGTGACGTGTGTGGTATGTGTGATGGAGAAACACATGAGTGACGTATGTGGTATGTGTGATGGAGAAACACATGAGTGACGTATGTGGTATGTGTGATGGAGAAACACATGAGTGACGTATGTGGTATGTGTGATGGAGAAACACATGAGTGACGTATGTGGTATGTGTGATGGAGAAACACATGAGTGACGTGTGTGGCATGCTTGGTGTGTGTGGAATGGGAGAGAAAACAACATAAGTGAACGTTACCCTGTGGTATTGTGTGATAGGAAGAAAACACAATGAGTGACGTGCTGTGGTATGTTTGATTGGAGACAACACATGAGTGGAGTATGTGTATGTGTTGATGGAGAAACACATAGTGACGTATGTTGGTATGGTGATGGGAGAACACACAATGACGTGAACGTATGTGGTATGCTCCCGCTTCTGTGACTGGAGAAACACAGGAAGTGACGTATGTGGTAGTGTGATGCGAGCAAACAACATGAAAGGGACGTATGGTGTGGGTGATGGCAGAACACATGAGTGGACGGTGTGCTGGTAGGGGTTGATGAGAGAAACAGCATTGAGTGACGTAGTGTTGATGATGGAGAAGCACAATGAGTGACGTATGTGTTCATTGGTGTGATGCGAAGAAAACACATGAGGTGACGTATGTAGTATGCGTCATGAGAAAACACGTGAGGTTGACGTTATGGGTATGTGTGATGGAGAAACACCATTGAGGACGGTATGTGATGTGTTATGGCAGAAACAGATGAGCCACTGTGGGTTATGTGTGATGGAGACAACAATGCCAGTGACGTAATGTGGTATGTGTGAATGGAGACACCACATGAGTGGACGTGGTGTGGTATGTTGTGATGCGGAGAAACAATGATGACCGTTGTGGTATGTGTGATGGAGAAACACATGTGTGATGGTGAAACACATGAGTGACGTATGTGTGATGGAGAAACAGCGGAGAGTGGAGGCGTTGGTGGTGGGTGTATGAGAACAGCAGAGTGACGTGGAAGGGAGAAACAGATGAGTGACGTGTGAGTATGTGATGGAGAAACACATGAGTGACGGTGTGTATGTGTGATGGAGAAACACCATGAGTGACGTATGTCGGTATGTGTTATGAGAGAAACACATGAGGATCGTATGTGGTATGATGTGATGAGAAACACTTGAGTGACGTAGTGGTATGTGTGATGGAATAACGACAGGAGGACCGTATTGTGTATGTGTGATGGAGAACAAACACATGAGGACCTCGTTAGTGGTATGTGTGATGAGAAAACACAATTTTGGAGTGACGTATGTGTAGTGTTGATGGAGAACACAATGAGTGACGGATGTGGTATGTGTGATGGAGAAACACAGAGTGACAGTATGTGGTATGTGTGACATGGAGGAAACACATGAGAGGAGTACGGATGTGGTTATGTGTGAATGGAGAAACAATGGAGTGAACGTATGTGGTTATGTGTGCATGGAGAGAAACACATGAGTGACGTGTGTTGTAGCCTGTGATTGGAGAAACACATGAGTGACCGTACTTGGTATGTTTGTGATCGAGAAAACACAGAGTGATATGTGGGAGTGTGATGAGAAAACACATGAGTGACGTATGTGAGGATGTTGATGTCGGAAAACACATGAACGTGACGTATGTGGGTATGTGTCGATGGAGAAACACATGAGTGACGTGATGGTGTATGTGTGATGAAGAAACACAGGATGAGTACTGTGGTATGCTGTGATGGAGACACATGAGTGACGATGTGGTATGCGTTATGGAAGAAACACATGATGACGGTAGGTGATATGTGAATGGAGAAAAAACACCATGAGGGACGGTATGTGGTATGGTGTGATGGAGGAAAAACAGGAGTGACACCGCTATGTGGGTATGTGTGATGGAGAAAACATTGACGAGTAGTAGTGTGGGTATGTGTGATGGGAGAAAAACACATGAGGACGTATGTTCGGTATGCTGATGGAGAAACATGAGGTGACGTGTGTGGTATGTGTTGATGGAGGAAACAAACATGAGGTTGACGTAATGTGGTATGTCGTGATGGAGAAGACACATGAGTGACGTACTGTTTTCGGGTGATGTGTGATGGAGAGAAAAACATGAGTGACGTATTGTGTGGTATGTGGTGAGGAGAAACACATGAGTGACGTATGTGGTATGTGTGATGGAGAAACACATGGTGACGTACTTCTAGGTATGGTGATGGAGAAACACTGAGTGACGTAATGTGGGTTATGTGTGATGGGAAGAAAACCACATGATGACGTATCGTTGGGTATGCGTTATGGAAGAACACGATGAGTGACGTATGTGGGATTGTGTGAGAGAACGACATGAGTGACGTATGTGGTATGTGTGATGGAGAAACACATGAGTGACGTATGTGGTATGTGTGATGGAGAAACACATGAGTGACGTATGTGGTATGTGTGATGTGCCTGTGTGATCTACATCAGATATCGGGTGAATGAACCATTGATCATTCGGCATTCACACATGTGCAGGGAAAGATAGATAGACAGAGAGACGGGACGAGAATGAGAGCGAGCACGCGCGAGAGCGAAAAATAGCGAGTAAGAGAAAGAAAGCCATAGAGAAAGAGAGTGAGAGATAGAAAGAGCGAGAAAGATAGATATATATATATCAAGAGTACATAATAGAGAGAGAGAGATATCTCCTATTATGTACTCTTGATATATATATAGAGAGAGAAAGAAATAGAAAGCAAGAGAGAGAGAGAGAGCAAGAGAGAGAGAGAGAGAGGAGGAGAGAGAGAGAGAGAGAGAGAGAGAGAGAGAGAGAGAGAGAGAGAGAGAGAGAGAGAGAGAGAGAGAGAGANGCTTCTCCTCTCTCTCTCGCTAGTGTTCTAGTGTAGCAGTCTAGCAGTCCTACCTGCGTGGAGACAGGCTATCTTGATGCCTCTGTTGCTACACGTGTCGTCATCATTATTGACTGGCAACAAGTCTCCACCGTCCTGCTGCGACTGTGTTCGCAAGCCACCTGGCGGAGAAAATTCACATTAGAAATCACATAAGAACATAAGATCTCTCTTCCACACTCTCTCTTTCTCTCTCTCTCTCTCTCTCTCTCTCCCTCTCTCTCTTCTCTCTCTTTCTCTCTCTCCTCTCGCTCCTCTCTCTCTCTCTTTCTCCTCTCTCTCTCTCTCTCCTCTCTCTCTCTCTCTCTCTCTGTCTTTCTCTCTCGCTTCTCTCTCTCTCTCTCTCACTTCTTCTCACTCTCTCTCTCACTCTCTCTCGTTCTCTCTCACTCTCTACTCTCTCCACGCACTCACTCCACTCTCTCTGCTTCGTCTCTCTCACTGCTTCTCTCTCACCTCTCTCCCCTCGTCTCTTTACTCTCTCTCTCTCTATCTCTGATCCCTCCGTCTCTCTTACCTCTTCTCTCTCGTCTTCTCGCGGCCCTATCCTCTATCCTCTCTCTTTTTTTCTAATATATATATATATATATATATATACTATAATATATATATTCTTAATATGATGGAATAATCCCCATTGAAATGATTCGAAACTGATCACGAATGAAAAATATATTGTGTTTGGCTACATTGTCTTTAGTTGTTATGACCGACCACGAGTTTAGCCCAGGTTATAGATTCGGCAGCCGCACCCAGGGCCGTCGGATGTTTTCCAATACTAAATTCTCTCTGTATCTACCTTTCGTCATCCTTCGTCTGTCTGCCTCGGTAGATAACCTGCTCCAGACCGTTCGCTGAAACTGGGAAACATCGCGCCCAGAAGATCAAAAGTAGCAAAATCGTCCTATACTGCACCGGAGCGGCTGCGGGCTGATCACCGTCGGGACATAAACTGGCAAGGCGGATTTTGCGTGCTGACGATTACTGTTTACGATTTCTGCTGCAGGGAACGGCAAAGACAACCTGTCGTTGCGGCTGCCCTCGTTCCTGAACTTCCTCTTGCTTCAGTACAAGGGGTCTGGGGTTTAAATGCCCTTGGCACGGGCCTCTCCACTTAGTTGACCTGCTCTGCTCACCACCTTAGCGCACACAGAACGCGCCTTGCCCCTGCGCGCTTCCATCCATTATACCTGTGGGTACCCCTGTCATCGGGCTGCCTCGCCTTCTCTGCTGGACCGCCCGCCCGTGTACTTGGCCATGCCGCGCGCGTTTCCCTCCCCCATTCCCCCTTGCTGGCCTAGATTGGTCCCTCTGTGCTGGCGGTCTCGGTGTGGCTGAATGCGCCTGCGCGCAGCTGCGCGTCTATGGATTTCTCGAGGCTATTATCCCACGCATCGGCTTACCATCTCCCCTTACCGTGCGAATGGTTACCAGGTCTGCCTCCATTTGGATCTTTCCAAACCATTCCGTTGCCAGAGTCGTGCCGCTGCACGCT